GACGGCCAGCTCTAGGAAGGGTTCTGGTCGTCCTAAACGTCTTCCATTTAAGGATTATGGAGGCCACTGTGCTCTTGGGAACCTTAAGTGCAGCAGAAATTTTTTTGTAACCTTGGCCAGATCTGTGCCTTGCCACAATTCTGTCTCTGAGCTGTTCAGGCAGTTCCTTTGACCTCATGATTCTCATTTGCTCTGACATGCACTGTGAGCTGTAGGGTCTTATATAGACAGGTGTGTGGCTTTCCTAATCACGTCCAATCAGTATAATCAAACACAGCTGGCCTCAAATGAAGGTGTAGAACCATCTCAGGGATGATCAGCAGAAATGGACAGCACCTAAGTTAAATATACGAGTGTCACAGCAAAGGGTCTGAATACTTATGACCATGTGATATTTCAGTTTTTCTTTTTTAATAAATCTGCAAAAATGTCAAAAATTCTGTGTTTTTCTGTCAATATGGGGTGCTGTGTGTACATTAATGAGGAAAACAATGAACTTAAATGATTTTAGCATATGGCTGCAATATAACAGAGTGAAAAATTTAAGGGGGTCTGAATACTTTCCGTACCCACTGTATGTAGTATATATCTCTCTGTTGGATAAAGAGTGCCATGCTGCAATCATAGTGCATTTACCCAAACTTCAGCACAGTGTGACGTCATCTTCACATTCTCTATACTATTACGTTTATCTGCTTATTTTTCATAACATAGACATAAACCTTGCAGATGTTTACACCACTGACAAATGCTTTCATGAATGCAGCATTATAAGTTCAAGGCCATGCTCGTTACACTGATGTTTTCAGATAAAATACAAGCTTGTGCTCAACCTACACACCCCAGTCTGTAGTCAAATTATTAATATTTTAGTGAAGAAACAAAAATAAAATGCGTATCATTGCATTATTCTCATAGCGAAGCTGTTGACGCAAAGCAAATCAGAAGAATCTTTGAAAAGCACTGTGCCACATCCATTCCATCAAGATCATCAACACTGTGAAAGAACAGCATTTGGGATACACGCTGTTTTTATTCAGTTTGATTAAAACCAGTGGTGCCATCAACAGGTCAGCTGTCGCCAGGCTGGCTGGTGGGGAAAATGGTGTCCTGGCTGAATTAATATGTCACAGCTGATCAGTGGTATTTTTAAAACTGTTTTCATGAGCTGTGATTGCCAACTTAGTCACTTTGTAGTCAACTTGAGAACTCATTTGTTCTAGCTATTGATAATGTGCCAATTCATTAATTATGTGGAATGTTCAAGTCTGTTAGCACATTTACTGTATTTAGATCATTGATGAAGCAGTTGGATAAGAGTTGGATATTCTCCCAGGCCATGATTAATCAAGAAATAATGTTGTTCTACAAGCAGCTACCCACATTTACTTTCCTAAATGCACAGCTGCCACAGAGTTCAGCTGAGACAATGTAATGTTGAAATCTCACAAAAACATCACCTTTGACAACATAAGAGTATTCATAAATAATCACTCATGTCTGAGGTCCACTATTTCATATAACCACAAAAATCTCTCTCTCTCTGATAAATTGCAGTGGTGTAATACATTTAAGCACAACTTGGCAGAGATGCAGTCAGTGCAGTCAGTGTGGAGATGCTTCTGAGAAACCGGACCTTGGTCAGTGCTGTAGTGGGAGAAACTAAAACTGTGGGGCTGAGGGGCTGCGGAGCTGGCTCTGGTTCACTGGCGCCACATCCCCCTGAGCTGGTGAGAATGTGGGGGCTGTGCTCTTGCCTTTGAAGCTTTACCTCCCACTAATTCTGGCCTTCCAATTTCCACACACTGCACAGACCCCCCCCCCTTTCCATCCTCT